TGCTCATTTAATTTATTTATTATACTCATAAAGGCGATCGGTAATTACTCTTTCCGCGTGATGCTCGCGTCGACGACAGAACTGGACCGGAGAATTTAAATAAACGACTCATCAATTGGGTTGCCTCTCAATCGATACTTGCCGGAAATTCTTTACGTGCATTAAATTCCCGACAAGAACACAACATACATATTCATTTTAAATGCAATCGTGGGAAGTTTTTTTTATTACCCTTAGCGCTAAAACGTTCCATCCCCGACTACTATTCTGCTTTAATATAATACATAATTCAATTCACATATTTTATTTTTGTTTTTATTTTACTGTAAAAACGTTTTAGTTTTTTCAGATTGTCAGAAAATTATTATTCAGTACTTTTTTAGGATTGATTAAATTCAATATATTTAGTATTATTGTAATTAATCATGATAATAATTTTTTTTTTATTTATATTGATATTGTGGCTAACATATCAACGATATAAAAAATACAATTCAATTTTCTACAAAAAAAGGTTTCTAATCATTTTTTATATTTTAATTATTTGGTCTAAAATAATAACAATTTACATATTAATCTTTTAAATTATAATTATAATTAATTAATTATTTTTTTTAAGATATAAGCTCATCCCGACATTACATTCATCGAGACCTTTCCTTTAAGTACCCACATCAATTTTTTCATATATTTATATATATTATATATTATATATATGTCTATATGAAAAATATATCAAAAATGCATGTGGGTACTCAAATGAAAGGTCTCGATTAGTGTAACATCGGGATGAGCTTATATCTTCAAAATATACATTATACATTTGTATATATGAAAAATATATCAAAAATGCATGTGGGTACTCAAATGAAAGCTCTCGATAAGTGTAACATCAAGATGAGCTTATATCTTTAAAAACTTCAATATTTAAGAAAGTACAATGCAATTTAACAAAATTCATTATTTAATAAAGCAAAATTTTATTTATTTATAATTCATAAGTTGCTAGTTGATTATCATTATTATTTTGGGTGAAATATTAAAGATATAAAAAAAATTATAAGAGACTTTTTTTTAAGAAAATAAAATATTTTATAAAAAAAAATCTTTATAAATTTTTTAATATTTTTGAGTTTTAAGACAACATTTAAAATTAAACAAAAATTAAAAAATCTATAATCTACACTTGCGAGAAATAATTTTATCGACTTTTGTTAAAAACAAAAAAAAGCTTAAGGTGACGTTAAAAAAAGGCTGATCCTTCTCGAAGCAAGAGCAAGAAGTCATACAAGATGATGATGGCAAAGTTCTGAGATTGAGGGAGAAAGCAACGGGGGTACACACATTATTTCAATGTTGGCAGTAATGCCTGTTATTAAGCGATGATAATGATTGGTATTATCGCGGGTAGGGAGCAGGACTGGTAGCAGCGGATATAAATCATCCGTTACTTCCTTCTCTATACTACATACTCCTATATGTATACATATAAATATATGATACTTACATACATATATCGTCTCTGCTCGCGGTCTCAAGGCGTACACAGCACCTTTGTGCTTGTACATTAAACCGATCTCGGTATCTACAACTATACACGTCCTATCCTTCCTCCAGTAGGATACCATCTCATATGTATATATATATATATATATATATATATATATATATATATATATATATATATAAATCTATATATCTATATATACAGTCGAATACACGCATTTTAACATGCCAAGAAGCTGTAAATAACCTACAAGTCGCCGTGAATTTGCCCTGGGCTCACAACGAGTCTCAGTCCGTGGTTTTGCTCCCAGACTTAACTTAAACTTTTTATTCCTGGCCATGCTTTGCTTTCCTTTCCTTTCTTACGTATTTGTTTTTTACCCCTAAGCAACGACATGCTACTTTTTACTTCAGCTTCACTCGCGTGTCTGAATACGCTGCTAATATAATTCAAAAAGTAACTTTCATCCCCTTCAGCTTAGACAGACGTTTTCATTTTTTAAAGATTCTTTTTTAATCCAAAGATTGTCTTGTTTACTTTTTGACACGTTAATAATTTTTTTTTAAGATAAAATAATTCAGTCACTATGTAATTGCTGTGACTCTAGAACTGTAAATAAATAAAATTTTGCTTTATTAAATAATGAATTTTGTTAAATTGCGCTGTACTTTCTTAAATATTAACGTTTTTAAAGATATAAGCTCATCCCGACGTTACATTTATCAAGAGCTTTCATTTGAATACCCACATGCATTTTTGATATATTTGTCATATATACATATATAAAATATATATTTTTAAGATGTAAGCTCTTCTTGATGTTACACTCATCAAGAGCTTTCATTTGAGTACCCACATGCATTTTTGATATATTTTTCATATATACATATATATTATATATATAAAAATATATAAAATATATGAAAAATTGATGTAGGTACTCAAATAAAAGGTCTCCATGAGTGTAACATCGGAATGAGCTTATATCTTTAAAAATGTCAATAGTTCTCAAGATACAAGATAATTTCTTAGTTATTTTTGTTCAATTGCACTGTACTTTCTTAAATATTGACATTTTTAAAGATATAAACTCATTTTGATGTTACACTCATCAAGAGCTTTCATTTGAGTACCCACGTGCATTTTTGATATATTTTTCATATACACATATATATATATATCTCATTCCGATGTTACAGTCATCAAGAGCTTTCATTTGAGTACCCACGTGCATTTTTGATATATTTTTTCATATACACATATATATATATATATATATATATATAATATATATAAATATATGAAAAATTGATGTGGGTACTCAAATGAAAGGTCTCGATGAATGTAATGCCAGGATGAGCTTATATCTTTAGAAATATCAATACTTCACAAGATACAAGGTAATTTCTCAATTGAGTATCTAGAGATAGAGCATTTTCAAATTCAGCCTAAATACTTATCATCATAAATTGACTATTGGTGAAAATGATATGAAACCTTAAAAAGACACAACTCCAGGTCAAAACCTTTCTAATGATACTAAATTTATCCATAAAATCCCATTTTATCATATCAATACACTAGCCACAAAATTTTGCTTATTCTCTTAATAATATAGATTAAAATAAAATTATTTTATTTTATAATTTTCAAAATTTTGTCTAAAAAATAAAAAATTTTAAATATTGATGGGACCTTTTTTATAGAAAATTAAATTTCCTACAAAAAAGGTTTCATTTAATTTTTTTCGTTTCTTCAATAATAAAAATAACTTATTGATTATAAATTTTAATTATTATATAAAGATAATAAAAATAATACTAATTACTCAGAAGCATACTGCTAAAAGTTATATTTTTGGACGAAATAATTAACCAAAGTACCACATCACCGGACACGCAATCACGTAATATCTGGTATTTATAACTGCATTAATATTGTATACATAACTTGACAAAGTTTAGAGCGTCGGCAAAAAAGTTAGACTCAAAGTAATTTTTAAAGATATGTTATTATTATTGCCGTTAATATTATCATAAGAATGCCAAGTAGCCTCGGAAATACCTTAAAATTGTCTTTTCTCGTACACGTTTCGAATAGCTGCACATGAGGGTCGCGTGCAATCTCGTGCGAATATTCCGTGCGCCATTTACTCGAAATATTCTATACAAAGTAGCTAAATACAACTGAGTCTCAATACATGGAAGAATAAAAATAAAGATGGACATGTAAATGGCTTGCAATTTCACTATTGTCTCATGCATAACGCTAGTTGATTCGCTCCAATGATTCTTAGCCTGATATGATGACAAAATTTTATATAAATTTATGTGATATCTCTATGCACGCATGCTCCTCATTTCCTCATTTCCTTGTTTATAACCCAAGAAATCGATTTTAAATTGTAAACAAATCCGATTTTTTTTGGAATAAATCTCAGCTCAATGAGGGGTTGACGTGTAATGGATACATACATGTATCATGTATGAATTTTTTTATTTTCTTTTCGCGCAAAGATATAATTATCCCGTAATTACCGAGTAAGCTTAATAATAGACAATTGAAAAAAATATTTTATAAGACGTCCGATTCCATGTAATTAATTATCATGTAATGGCTTCATGACTTCTGACTACTGAGAAAAAAAATTGTTCAGGCTAAAAAAGTCGCTGCCGACGTCCTCGAAGTTAATATATAAAATTTTTTTGGTTTTGAAGGTTTTAAAGGGAATATTTTGAGGTTTTTAGGTGAAATATGGAAGTTTTGGATCATATGGTCGCAGATACAGCCGCCATATTGATTAAAACTTTCAATTTACAGCGCTAGATGTCACTAGTTTGTCATAGAAATTTTAAAATTCAAATTCTGGCGGTAAATATTGAAAAAATTTTATTTTTAGTTTGAAATCTAAATTTTTTATAATGAAACCTTGAAATTTATATTTTAAATAAGGATAATTTTTCTAAAAAATTATTTTAAACTCCAAAAAATTCACTACTGATTTTCTCAAACTTAAAATATAATATTGATCCAATTTTGTTGAGTTTTATATTAAAATTTTGAGATTTTTTAGTTAAATATGGAATTAGACGATCATATGGTCGCTATTGAAGCCGCCATATTGATTCAAACTTTTAACTCACGGCGCTAGATGTCGCTAGTTTGTTGTAGAAATTTTAAAATTCATATTCTGGCGGGAAATATCGAAAAAAATTATTTTAAACTCTAAAAAAATCATTACTGATTTTCTCAAACTTAAAATAATAAATTTAATTAATTTTGTGGAGTTTAATGGTAACATTTTGAGATTTTTTGCTTAAATATGGAATAATACGATCATATGGTCGCTGATGTAGCCACCATATTGATTAAAACTTTAAACTCGCGTCGCTAGATGTCTCTAGTTTATCTCAATTTTTTTAAATTAAAATTCCGGAATATTAAAGAAATATTGAAGATTTTAAAAAACTTCCAAGACAAATTTTCTAGTAAATTAAATAATCTATTTAAAAAATAAAAAAATTTTAATTTTAACCGGTAATTTAATCATAAAAAATCGAGTTTAAATTCAAAGAATCGATAAAAAATAAAAAAATGTATTTATTAAAGCAATTGTCGATACCACGAGGGTCAATTATAAGCTAAACGATAGACTAGGGAGTATAAGTATACCCAGGGAGCTAATGAAATTATCCGGTCCGGGAGTGAGCCGTATAAACTATTACCGAACTAGAAACTTAATAAATAAAATAAAATCCGCTCTTGGATAAAATAGATAAAATAAATAAAGTGAATAAAATGGATAAAACTCAAGCTCAGGTTGTTAAATTATCGGATTTAAGGATAATTATTTAGTTTGCGGCTCGGAGATTTTGTTAGGAATTTATGTGAAAGTAAAACGGGAGCAGGAGCGTGAAAGACAAGCTGCATGCAACCAGACGGCTCTCAGATGACCGGGAAAATTTATAGCTCGGTCGTTAGTGGCCTGAACTAACACCGGACACTGTTGGCCAGCGCAACCCTATCCCGATGTCCAGGGCGTGCCGGATCGGTGATTTACCGAGTCATTTGTCCCGATAACACTGACAGATGCTGCCGCTTGGGATCTTGTTACCTACTAGCTTATTTTTGCAAATTTCTCGGACTTTTTGCAATATTTGATGTTTGACTAGGGCGAGGTTGTAATGTTGAATGTTAAAAAGACTCACCTGTGTCTGCGTCAACCCCAGGCTGGCTGCGAGCTCCGCTCGCTCAGGTAGTGCGAGGTACTGCGTCCTCTGGAACCGCCTATTCAGCTGCTGAAGCTGCAGGCTGCTGTAGATCGTCCTGGGCTTACGCATTTTCTTGCCCTTGCCGTTTCTCAGGGAGCCGCCGCCTCCTCCTCCCAGCTCGTCCACCAGGCTTCCTCCCTTGTCACCCAAAGGTGAGAGGTCTGTGAACATACACCACCCTGATATCAACCTTCAAAATTTTGGTCTATTTTTTGTGATTTTGATTGAAAAAAACTAAAAAGTTTTAATTGGTTTAAAAATTAAATCATAAATAATTTTAAAGGGAAAATTTGAATTTTTTATTGCTACCTGATTAATTTTTAACTAGCTACCTTGCAAAAAATGAAATTTTGCTTTATTGAATAATGAATTTTGTTAAATTGCACTGTACTTTCTTTAATATTGATGTTTTTAAAAATATAAGCTCATCCCGATGTTACACTCATCAAGAGCTTTCATTTGAGTACCCATATGTATTTTTTATATATTTTTCATATATACATATATATAATATATATAAATATATGAAAATATGAAAAATTGATGTGGGTACTCAAATGAAAGGTCTCGATGATTATAACATCGGGATGAGCTTATATCTTTAAAAATGTCAATAGTTCACGAGATACAAGGTCATTTCTTAATTATCTATCTAGAATTAGAGCATTTTCTAATGCTGTCTAAATATTTAAATATTAAAAAATTTTTAATCTTATTTAGTTAAAAAATTTTTTTATTCATTGAAAAATTGATTTTTTTGAAATAAAAAACATTAAATTTTTTTTTTGCTATTAATTAAAAATAATAATAAAATTTCTTACAATATAAAAGGTCAAAAAATGTACTTGAAAATTTTAATTAAATTTGATTATTTCTTAGGCCTGTGAATAAAGACAGAATAATAATATCCAATACTCACATACACACACTTTAATAATAATAATAATGAATGAAAAAAGAATAGTTGATGATGGGAGCGGTGTTTTAAAAGCATAACACAAGTCAAGCTCGCCTGTGCATCATATATTGATGAGAGCATGTGATACGTCAATAATTCATAGGTCTGATATTTAATAATTCTTCTTACATCTCATATTAATACTTAATACTTGATACTTCATACATCATATGCACACATATTAGCATTTTAATTTTGAATTATTTAATTCCATCTCCTTTCATTACTCATTACTCATTAATTCTCATTAGCATAACCCGCACTCAGTTATTCTTCGACTGGAGCCATGTGCTTACAGTAGACTCCAGACTTGCAACAATTAATAGTGGGAGGCTATTGTGTACGTGCTCTTACTTCTATATAATGTGTATTTATATATTTACTAGAATCTTAAAGCTCCTCAGACTTAATATATGTTACTCACGTGGGTTCTGTGTACGTGAAATCACCCGCCGTTAATTAATGATCACTCATCACGAAATTAGTACTGTTAATTACCAAGAGAATAATGTACTATTAAAAATAAAAAATACCTCCTCTGAACGATGTTTTCACAACGTACACGCTAGTAGAAAAAGTTGTAATCTGTGTCAGATGTCACACTTGTTTTTTTTAATGATAAGTAACTATTGTAATTATAATTTACGCGCTTAAATTTAGTTTCTACTTTCATTTTGGATAGTTTTGGGATTTTAAAATTCAAAATTTTTAATTTAAACTCAATATAAGTTATATTTTATTACAATTTTTATTATTTTACTAATAATTCCTGATAATAAAAAAATTACGACACTGTTGTAAAAAATTCTAATTTAACACAAATAAGTATCAAATATTTAATAAAAAATTTTTTTAACTGTTCTTTTTGATAAATTAACACTTTTAATTAAAAAAAAAAAAACAATTTTATACACTGATAGTAGGATTTGTTTATATTTAATATTTATTGACTGTTAATAAATGATTTTTTAACATCAGGATTTAATAAATATTTATTAACAATAAATTATTTATTAAATACGATTTATTGAATGTTAAAAATTATTTATTAAAATTAAAAAATTGTCTTCAAATAAATTTAATTATTAATAGTTAATAAATCCTTCTATCAGTATACAAAAAAAAAATTTTTTTTTTAAATATAATTTTTTTTCTATTCAAATTTATTTGTTAAAAAACATTTTTAAAAATTTAAGTATATCAGCTTGTATTAAAATAAAAGTAATAATACTAACTAAAATTCGAATTAAAAAATGAACCCTCAGAAATTAGTCAGAGTGAAAAGTTAAAAAAACAGAAACAGAGCCCGTATAATAAGTAGCATGAAAGAATAAGGTTTTACAAGAATAACGAGAAGGTGCATTTCGCGATAATATCTAGTGTCGATACGCGCGTCCGCGATGTTTGCCCGGCGCCGAGTTTAACCGCTCGTGTACACCAGGTTGAATCACGCGATCGCTACCCGATCTCCCGTAAACTCACACAGAACCGTCTCCATGCAGGTAACTTATACCTATACCTATATATATTGTAAGTATATAATATAAAGGCTTCTTCTCCACATTACAGTGGAGACTATACACGGCCGCCGCCGATATCTTCCTTATCCTCCTATCATCTTTATCTTCGCGGTTGTTTTACAGTTTACAGCTCGGCTCTTTCTTTAACTTCCAGGAGCAAATTCAGAGCAAAAGTTGACTTTTACAGTTTTATAATAAATTTATTTATACAGGCATTAAATATACAATAAAATTGTGGATATATTCATCATAAATAAATCAAGAGATAAGTTATGATACGGAGGGGAGATGAAGATTATTTTATCGCTTTTGTATAAATACCGAGTACTTATAATAGACGATACATTTCCACGCAATCTTTCAAATTATACTTTTCATCACTTAATCGCTTATGTTTATAAAGACATTTATATTTATTTTAATATTGATACTAATTATTTGGATTTTACTTTCAATGTTAAAATATTATTTAACTTTTAGACAATTAAATAAATTAATATTGAAGTTATTTTAGAAAAATAAAAATTTATAATAGAATTTACAATTAAAAAAGTTTTATTTCTTTCGATGTTATTTTATCAAAAATTTTTGACCATTAAAAAAGACAAATTTAATGGATTTTTTTATTGTTCTTCCGCGAAATAAATTTCAAAATTAACTATCTAGAAGTTAATAAAAAAATTTTTATAAAGATAAGGAATTAAATGTGTGAAATTTAATGAAATATATATGAATATATATGCAGGTTAAATTCCTGCACCCGAAAAGTGAATTTCGATGGGCCATGATAGAGCAGATACAATATAGTAGCAAATGGCGCGTGTACTAACAAGGAGCAAACAATAGCGTGCCCACTGGCAATTAAGCGAATCGCGATTGCGATGCGATATTTATTATTTAATTAATTAATCAAAGGACGCCGCGAGTGTATCGGCCCGTGGCTCGCTCTGGATTTCCATCAGCACACAGATGAAATCTCTACAAGTCCAACAATAACACCTAAAACGTGCATTAAATGTTTCATTTAGCCAAACTCACTTTTGTCACACGTCAGCTCAAAACAATTACAATCACCGACATTTTTTATTATACATTTTATTTGAACAGTCAATTTTTTTCTTAAAGCCAAAACCAACAATTTTTCTTTATAAAAAAAATTTAATTGAATTCAATTATGTTTTTAAATTTGAATTTTTTCACACCGAAATCCAAAAATTCTATTTTTCAAATAAGAAGATCAAAAAATATAAATAGAAATTTTTTTTGTAAGCTTTTTTTTGACTCAAATAATTTTTTTTCATAAAATAAAAAAATCGTAAGTCAAAAAAAAAATTTTTTCGTTCATTTTTTTCGAATATTTATATTTTTAAATTGATGGAAAAAATTTTTTACATGCTTTTTTGTCAAATTTGAACATTTTTAACTTTTTAATACAAAAAATAAAAATACTTGGAACGCTTAAACATCAAAATTAAAAAAGAAAATTTAATTAAATTCAATAATTTTTTTAAATTTCCAATTTTTACGTCCAAAAATACTATTTTTAAAACAAGAAGATCAAAAAATATGAATAAAAATTTTTTTAAGCTTTCTTTAGACTCAAAAAATTTTTTTCTTAAAATTAAAAGAGTGTAAGTAAAAAAAAATTTTTTTTTTAATTTTTTTTCCACAAGTTTATAAATTTTTAAATTGAAAAAAAAATTTGTTTAACAATAAAGCAAGTTTTTAATATTCAGCTTTTGAATAAGGGTTGAAAAAAGTTTGAAACAATATCCCTAGAAACTTGTACTTCATCCCGAACTAAAAGAAGTGCATTTAAAAGTTTTAATGGATTTCCAATGACGGTCATAAAATAATCGGTAATTTTATCGGTTGCCCTTGTCCAGAAACTTATCAAGGGGTTGCTCGTAACTTACACAGCGAAGAACTAAAAACTCTCCGGAAAATAACTGTCATTAGAATTTCCAACGAGACAGTTTTTGTTAACCCTTTCCGATAGTTTTTTCCCGATTAATATTGTACAAAAACGGGGTTAGGTAATATAACCGATTTGCCTTCAATTGACCATCGGTAAGCCCGTCCGCCGGCAAGTGGATTATAATAAGGGTTGGAAAAATTACAGAAAAACGATAATACTTGACTATAAGTTTATGCAAGGGTTATTCATTCTTTATTCTTTATGCGCAGGTAGGCTTGTATTTTTTCAACCCTCCTGATCGGGTAACTGGAAGTAATCAGGGTTGCGAATTAAGCGCCATTTTATTTTATTAAACCGAAGACAGCTTTGCTTTTTACCCTAGCGGTAAAAATTCAACAACTTTGAACCCTTTTGTCTCGAAAACGTCTGGGGCTTTTCCCCCTGGGCTCGTAATTTAAAAATACTACCTTGCGGTAATCCTGAATAAAGGATTACTGACATTTAACGCGCAAGATCGCGGATTGATGATGTGAATTTTGAGCACTTAGCTGGATTATATATTGTGCATTGTGCATTGTATGCTTTGTATAGTTGTGTGGGCTACTGTATATCAAGCTAAATGAACGCTGGTAATGATAATGATAATCATAATCATAATAGTAATAGTAATAGTCATCATTACGCCGATGATGTTCACGGCCTAAGTCATATTGTTGTGAAAAGACAATGACTGCCACCTGACAAGATCCGAGATAATGTTGTATCTTTTTTAACGATAACTCAATTTATATTTTTAGAAACTGTCATCAGTTAAGTACCTGGTTTTGTCCGCTTTAATTACATTTTTGCCGTTTTATTAGTTGTTATTTTATTGGGTTTGTTTTTTTTGAAGATTAATAAATGTTTTGGAATTTTTTTAGTCTATTGGAAAAATAATATTTAATTTTTTTTGGGCTTAAAAATTTTTTTTTAAATGTCTAAGATTTTTATTATTTATTAAAAAAATTTTTTGGACAAATTTGGAATTCAATTTTTGAAATTTTTTTAGTCTAATAAGAAAATAAAATTTGATTTTTTTTTTTGGGCCTCAAAAATTTTTTTTTTAAATCTAAGATTTTAATTATTTATTAAGAAGATTTTTTGGACAATTTTGGATTTCAATTTTTGAAATTTTTTTAGAAAAAATTTTTTAAAGTGACATTTATCAATTTTTTTATTTTGAAGTTTTATCAAAAATTCAAAAATTATTTTTTAAAGTTTAAGATTTTAATTATTTATTAATAAGATTATTTTTGACAATTTCGAAGTTCAATTTTAGTAATTTTTCTATCAATTTTGTAAAAGTTGAAATTTTTTTATTTTAAATTTCCAAAAAAACAATTTTTTTGCCAATAAATAAATAAATTTTTTTTTAATAATTTTCCAAAACATTTCTTACAATAAAAACAATTTAATCCAAAAATTAGGCTTAAAATTTAATAAAAAATCAATTATTATCAAAAACATCTCATCAATATTTTTCTAAATCTATTGATCAATAATTATATAATCGCTAAAAAAATTCAAGCGACAAAGCCGTGAAACGACAAAAATAGAGCAATTGACACTCATAACACAATTTAAAAAAAAAAAAAAAAAAAAAAAAAAAAAAAAACATATATAAAACCCAACTTCGTAGAACAACTTTGATAAGTCCTCTTATTAACTTTAATTACTCCGTATACTCGCACTCGTTATCACTTATCACAAACCTATTAAGAAATTGCCGGTTTATAACGTCTACCTTCAATTTTTCAATAATAATATCAATTCGCATAGCACAAGACATACACTCCTATTAAAAACTTGAATTCAAAGTTTCTTTTTTTGGAAATTCTTCATTCTGAATCGTGCAAGCGGACTACCTGGAATTACATTATTTCCACCCACGTCCTCGAGACTACCTTAAATTTCTAAAAAAAGAATCGAATGTATATACACGACTATATTCCCTGCTACTATTTTAACACCGACTAAATAATAGAATCTAGACTAAGTTTTCCATTTTCCGGGTCGTTTGAATTTCAGAAGAATAGAAAAAGCCTGAATTCACTATAACTAACAATCCGTAGGATATCCAAATGAATATCCATGCTCAGCTGAAAGGGCATAATTTGTAACAATACCAAATCAGACTCGAGTTCCTCTGAATGAGTAATAGTAACATCATCATATAGAAGAAGAAGAAGACCAAGAAGAAGAAGAAAAAGAAGAAGGTATCTTGTTCTGTCATCTAAGTCTTCATTCAAAAACAAGAGGACAAATGACCCGGCAGACTACCTGGCGCCTGCTGCCAAGACCCCCGCGGTTTTGGCGAGTATCAACCCTTGGGTTGAAGACTTTATTGGTGGATTATCATATCAAGTTCGCGGGTAATATGTTCAGGCTTCATGACTCAGAACGCAAAAATGGACGATGTTAATATGCTCGAATAAGTTATTGTTGTTACGTAGCTGATGTATTGATTGGGTTCACATGTTCTGCCGCGGTCAATATTATAAATATACATCGCGGAGATACTTATAGAGCCGATTCGACCCTAGATATGTCGTATGTCTTGAGGTTACTTTTTTTCTAAGCTAAGTATTATTCTGGAGAAAGTAATTTTTTTTCTGGAAAATTTTAACGTTATATTGTAATTTTCGGAAAAATTCAAAAGCTTATTTTGAATGATATTTTGCAATTTTATGGCGTTAATATGCAGTAAAAGGACAAAAAAGAGAGAAAAAATTGATAAAATTTGTTTTCTAAAAAAAAATATTGGATAAAACAATGAAAAAAGTTTAAAATATTCTTTTTGATAGAAAAATTTTGTACGAAAATATTTAAACTTTCTAAGATAACTTTGTAAGATATTCCTCATTAAGAATCACAAGTTTTTTTATAATACATTCGCGGTGTTATTATTACTATTATGGAAATATAAACAACGATTACAATTAATCGCAGTTAGATATCATTCGCACAACATACTATTATCATGTCATCTTGATCATCCATTTGATGTACAACAACAATGGATTAGAATAAATCATTTTTATAGTGAAAACATACATTTATATCTAAATGATCAATTTTATGTTTTTGTTGGGATCTAACATGGGTAGAATAGTTGTCCGACGGTTAGTGATAAGAACAATGCAAGTTTGATTTGATGAAATTTGGTTTGTTTTCGAACAAATTTAGAGTTTGATAGAAAATTCACATGAAACTCTAATAAAATTGATCTTCTAATCACTTTTAGATCAAAAACAAACTTTTTCAAGCTTAATTTTTGCTTCTAAAAGGAACAAACTACAAAAAGAACTTTAAGCTTTCTTAACAAAATTCCTCCAGAACAGATCAAACTTTTGTTTAATTCTAAAAATCGACTGTTCAAAACACAGTATATTTTTGAAAAATTATTTATGAAAGCAAAATTTTGATGTAGCAATAGTCTAATTATCAATTATTTCAATGATCCAAATCAAAATATTATACCTTTATTAGATATTGAATTGTTTTTTAAAGTGATATTAAATTTCAAACTAATAGTTTTTTCTTACAAATAGAAGTACGCGAATTTTTTCTAAAATGGAGTTAGACAATTCTATAATTAGAATGTCGATATCAGAAAATATATATAAATTAGATATAAGTATAATCTTTATTTGTTTCATGAAAGAGAAGACAAATTCATAAAACCCAAAAAACGGATCCTGTGTTTTAAAACTGAGCCAATTAATCTTAACCTAATAAATAGTAAAAAAAGTGTAATACATACAGTTAGGGTACTCACCGTCCTTGGGCGGTGAGGGGCATTGCGGAGCATAAGAACTGAGATGATATCCGTACGCATTGTGTTGGTGCATTGGCGCAAAAGGGTACCCAGCTAGTGCGGACCTGGGACTAGGAAACCCTGCATCAGAGTGCTGCTGATTTCCACTCCCGGGTCCGGAGCTCTGATGGCCCAAAGAGCCCACCTGATGCGAGAACTGGTGTCCCGCGGAGACATTGTGGCCTCCGGGATAGCCTCCCCTCAAACTCGCGGGGTTGTAAAGATTGTTGTGTTGGAGCTCAATGAAGGCGCTTTTCCCGGACTGAGACACAGGGGTACTAGAGGCGCTGTCTCCGCCGTTTCCCGGCGGGCCAGGAGTCACCGAGCCGAGTCCTCCGTGGTGGAGATGCTGGTCCATGTCGGAGTTTCCTCCCCCAGCGGATCCACCCCCGGCGCCCGCTCCCGAGGCCGGTCCCCCCGACATACTGTTCGGGGTCGGGGTGCTCGACGGACAGGGGTCGCCCGCCCCGAATGGGCTCCCCAGGTCCGTGAAGTTGAGCGTCGTCGTGCTGCCCGGGCGATCCACCTTAATAGCAACGTCGAGGCCGTACGCGGCACCAGCCGACGTCGCCGCGACTCTAAAGCCGCACGGAGCCCGAATCTTGGAGCTTGCCGATGCTTTCGCGTCGGCTGACTCTCTGGTAAGTTAGCTAAATCCTTGCTCTTCAACCACCAGGATTACCACTTCACATCCAGGGTCGACTAGTTATTCTATTATCGACTATTATTTACTGGCAATGACACTCGCGAACAATATCAACCACTAAAACACCTGGTACCTTTGAAAAACCACCGCTACCAATTCCAACACTCACTAGCGTCAGCTTCTTTTGCTACTAGACACTAAATTTCCAACAATCCTCATATTCGTTATCTTCAACGCTATAAAACTGCCAATTTCATTGATTCTTAACTTAACACCAAACTTATTAAAGCATCCAAGCTATAATTGATACCTAGTGGATCATTAATTAGATCTAATAATTCTTCTTTGATGATCACAATTTTAAGTGACAAAAACTCTATTTTGGCGCCCAATTTGGGTTAATTAAACCGAACCAACGAATTAGTGATTCCTGATGGTAAATTATCAATTCTAGCTGCTAATTTAAGACAAGACACAACCACCTAGTCTTGGTTGATGATCATCAAAAGCAGTTTGTGCTCACAAAAACTATGTTTGGCGCCCAATTCCAACAAATCACACCAAACACTGATTACTAAAAATCACACTTGAAACACTGAGCCGAAATATAATTTATAAAATCCTCGGAACAGCACAGATATTAATAACTATTAATGGTAGCTCATTAACGATAATCGCCGTCGGGTAACCACAGTGTGATGACTTGTTTAAAAAATAATCGTCGGGCACTATAAGGTATCAATTAACAGTATTAATTAAAATTGACAATCCTAAAGGATGATTATTTAATATTGTAATGAAGAGGTTAATCCAGTTCAGGTTATGGGTCCACTATTTGTTAAATAATCACTCCGCGAAAAAACTTTGGAGGACAGTAATGACAAGAATACGTAATGGGTTCGCGGTTTTCGCCAACGTTTAGGAGGTCTGGACACGGAACACACACGCGCGTCTAGACCAGTAACTGCAGTGCACACCGCGCGGCGCGGACCGGTATAATGATACATAATGAAGTTCGAGCCTCTCCCCGAGTTGGTCGAGTTAGTTCTCCAGTAAGCCGCCAGGAGGCATCTGGGGAGGCTCCTCCTACAAGTAGAGAGCTGGAAATGCGGATTGGTGCGCCCCTCTACTGGGCTAGTGACGTCGGTGCAGTGGATTGGTTTGAAGGAAGCCATTATGGTGCGAGAGGCGGGGCTTTCGGGGGCACGCCCACGCCTACGATTTCAGGAATGTGGAAGGACACGCGTACTCACGCATTTATTGAGGATGAGGATTTTAGTGAGAAACTGGGAAATCCAAAACTCGCACCCTTTATAGTTAACGTATGCTGTTGTTATCTTTATCGATGGTGTTTCACTTTAACTCTCTTAGCTAACCATTATCGTAAACTAACTGCGCCAGGACTCTCTCGGGAGGCTCAAACTTTTCCGTTATATGTTTTATGGTGTGAGGTGCTTCAGAGAACCTTCAGATGAGTTCTATCCGGAAGCTCGGGAAGATGAGGAACCGGTGATTAGATGAGATTTCTCTCTTGGAGATGATTGTGGTGTAGAGTGCGTTCAACCATTCATTTTTTATATTTTAGAAATGATAAGGCCGATTTTGAAACATAGAAATTTCAAATTTTTAATCCTTTTTTTTGGTTGGATCTTGCCTTATTTATAATTTTTTTTCTAAACAATCTATTTTTTTCTCTCATTAATATACTTTCCACACTGATAGAAGGATTGAGTACGGAGTACTAAACTGATTTAGTAACAAAATTTTTATTCATATATTTGGGAGAAACAAATATTTTGTACCCATCAATATTATTTGTTACAGTTTAATAAATGATTTCTCTATATGAACAAAGCCTTATTACATGGAAATAAATATTTATTTCCACCAAATAATATTTAGTAACAGGTACTACTAAATATTTCTTTGTCAAGTATTTTCGGTAGATGGCTATGCACTGACTCAGATTATTTTATTCAGCTCTATTTTAGGAGATTTATCAAAACTTTATAAATACGATTGTGGAGTATAACCCAGAACAGGATTGTGGAGAGGATCATCTTAATGTGAGTGTATAGAATATGCGAGAAAAAATTATTAGATAGCTCGGACTGGGATTCGAACCCAGAACCTTCCGAAGACATGTCGGCTACTCTACCATTTATAAACACACATCAAACACATACTCCCAATAAATTTCTTCTATTTATGTCTTTTCTCAATGGAGTTTAGTTAACATTTTTCAATTTGTCTATTATTGATATTTTAAAAACTTGTTTAATTTTAAATCTTATAAATGTCTCAACCAAAAAATACAATTTAATGAAATTCTTTTTTTTTACAGTACCCTATATTTTAACTTAAACTTATTTTTATTTATTTCAAGTTGAAAAGTTAGGTTACACGCTATAATTAGTTAAAAAATTAATTTCTTTGATACCAATAAACGATTTATTGCGTAGCAATAAATCATTTGTTAAATACTACTTAATATTTATATGGTAGAACTAAATAGGCTTTAATAAATTATTTAGTAAATCTTATTAAATAGAACTAAATCCTATCAGTGCATCTGCAGAAAAATTTTTTACCCATGTAAACTTTTCCTTCTAAATATGAATTATCAAATCCACAATTATTGAAAGCACCAAAACAATATTTCTTCAATTCTTACCCAACCTTATTAAAGCATTCCAAGATTTTCCCATCAATTAACAACCAATCACTTGCACTCTTCTGCAAAAAACACATCGAAGAAAGCATATACACCGATCCTGGATCAACTTTCGTGAGACTCGGGAGCAGACACGCCCAGGGAGGTCGAAGGTCCCTCGACCTCCGTCCACTTACTTTCTTGGCTTACGTGCAACATGTTTGCACAGATAACCTAGGATTGAAGTGAACACTAAACACCTAACGACGGTGAGAACTATTTTTCCCCAACTTACATCAGCTGAGTGCTAGGAGCGTAATCCAAAGTATAATCCACAGCCGACCCAGTCTGGATTTGTATACGTCAGTTTAGCATTTGGAGTAAAATCTGCATATCACCTCAGTCACTAAATCCCTTTTTCTTCTAGCTCCTAGCTTCTGGCTTCTACCTGCTGTCCAGTCATTGCTATAATGGACAGTGAACTAGATCCGTTTATGCATAACTAGCCCACGGCTAGTTGCTGGTAAGACCCTTGTCTTACCTCGGATTGGCTGGCCTTGACACCTTTTTAGGAATTTCCTCAGCAAGGAATATCCACCCGCAGATATTTTTCCTTGGTAATGTCTAGTGTTTGTGCAGCTTGGGCTGTGATCGACAATTAGGACGATTGAAATGTTGAATGTCATGTTGGGAACATTCATTGCAAGGGACAAGAGACACCTTGGTGGTTTGGTTATCTGGTTGATCATCAGAGCAATCAAAACTATGAAACGACTTCTAGTTCTGGTTCCAATTCTGCTGGCATAGTGGTACCTTCTGGTTTCTACCTTGGAGGCGGAGGTCGAGCTCATCCACCTTCACTGACACTCGTTATTATTAGTTGTACGAGCGTGTACGTACCTCAGGCACCCAGGAGGCTCGTGAGAACCGGAAGTTACGGTTAGACCCGCATTTGCCTCCAGCGCTCACGCATCCTTCATGGCGACACTACCAGCGGACCACAACGTCCTAGTCATCATCAACCAGCCTTTCTTGAGAGCTTGACTTTTACAGCTAGAGAAAAGAGGTTTTCTCTTCCTCTAGAATGATGACACTCTGGGATGGAGCTTTCTCTTGCTTAGATGTCATTGTTTTTGGTAATTGCTCTCTGGATTTAAGCTGGCCCTACTTTTTCACTCAATTAGGGCTCTAAATGTAATTACACTAATTAATTCTTTTAGTAAACAATTATTGAGTGTCATTTTCTGCTGTGAAAATACTTGTAAGGATGATTTCATTCAGTTACGGAAGTGCTTCTTTATCTAACTGATGATCTGTCCTATTTTGTGAAACACCGTAGGGCGCTAAGTACTTAATTGAGATGGAATTATTGTTTGTTTTATGTCGTCGTAATTATTTTCTTTCATTTTTGGATGGGATTTGTGGTTTAACACCTTTTGTTTCTGCGTTAATAATAGTCGGAAATTTTATGAACTTAGAAGGTGAAATTTTGATTCTTTAGTGAATTTTTGGTCTTTTGAATGAATTAATTCCCTAAATATGTTCAAAATTAGATCAAAGAAATCTCAATTCACAAAAACCAAAAAAAAAAAGTTTTTTACGTTATTTTGAGATAACTTTTAAATGCTTCAACCAATCAGATCAAAACCATGTATACGGATTTTGTGCTTGAAAAACTACATCGAATGCCGTCAACAAAATCAAAATCGGCCTATCCATTCAAAAGTTATCACAGTTTAAAGTGGTCAAAAATTTACCGATTTATACCATTTTTCCTATTTTTTAATCCGAATTGCTTAAAAATCATTCTATTGCTACACTTTCGATATTTTGAGCTCAAAAATGTCAAATATAGCAGAACCAAATTTTTTTTTTTCGTGTCAACCCATTTTTTTTATCAGTATATCCTTCGAATTTTTGAAAAAAAAAACCAAACTATAATCAATGCACCCTTTTAAAATAAAAAAAGTATAGTTGTATACGTGTGGTAGTTATTATTTGCAGTAAGCATCAACCACTGAGGTTTGTGTACGGTGAATTACATAATTGAGCTTGGTAAATAGCCGCAATCTGAGTGCAGGGAAGTGTGCTAAATAAAATGCCATTCAATTAGACACGGAACCGACAACGATGAGAGTTGCTGATGTTTTGTTCGAGTTTCCAGTAGTAAACCGTCTAACCCGATAGTTCACTGCTATTAGGGCTATATTGATCTTGATTGAACCGTCAATAGGTGTAATTAATACCTATATATCCTTCTATCTATATACATAACCATATATACATATATTTATCCAGTTATATGTATGTATGTATGTATGTATGTATGAGGATAATAATGAACGAGTGGTAGTTTTGAGTATTTTTGGCAATTATCAAAGTTTGGCTTTCAACAGCACTTAGTGGTGATCCAAAAGTTGTTTCTGCACGAATTGGAGCTTTTGAAAATCGAGAGGAATATTTGGATTGTCTGGAAGAATGCCAAAAGTATTTTAAAAGTACTTGAGGCTTGAAATTTAAGTTTTTAGTATCGA